TGCCAAACTCAATACATGCATAGTAGGCTAGCTGGTAAACAGAAGCTGCGGCATAATTCGAGTTGGCCTGGTACACTCTCGGATCCCTCAAGGGCTTAGTAAGCAAATCTTCATGACAAAGTCACCTTGCATGGGCTACTGTGATCTAACGTCTTGTATGGCTACCTGCGGTGCTGTGATAATTCCTGTGCGATCCCCCTGTGCTTGTTGTGTAGCTTGTTCACGCGCTCAGCCATCTGAATCCTCAACTACTCACGTTTTGCCCAGCTTCTCGACGCAGGCGCATGTCGATGCGGAAGGACACCGCGTGGAAGCCAAGGCGGTCAGCGACTTCCTCAGGCTTCAGGGCTCCATGAAACATGTCAAAAAGCCATAAACTCGAAGGAAGGATCTCTGTTAATGGAAGCCTTTCTGCTTTAAGTTCCCAACAAACGTCTCATGCGCATTGTGAGGCCCTTGCTGTGGCATCAAGACCGTCGTTGGTCTTCAGAGTGCCTCAGATTAGGCCGCAGACTGAGATGAATTGTTGCTGTTGGTCCTGTAATGTCAGTTTGCTGCCTGAAGTCGTTCTGAATGAATGCATAGAGCTACTCGGACCAGGGGTGTGGGGAGGGTGAATACCTTGGTCATGCACGCTTTAGGATTTCGCGTGCTGAGCTGCAGGTTTCAGAGTTTACCCCAACCTCTTGCCAGACACTGTCTTGGGTCTTGCGGACTGGGCACACCGCATGAAGGCCCTCGCGTGATGCCACAACAGGTTCGCAAGCGAGTCATGGCAACTGTGTGACTTCATAGCACGCGCATTGTGCACGCCAGCTGCAGTCGCGCTGTAGAAGTTTTCAGCAGCACGTTAGTAGGTGGAGAAAAGAACGTGTCCTAACAGAACAGAGCCCGAGCAGAGTCCTCTCTGGCCGCAGTCAAGCTGCGATTCCAAGACATGTGTAGTCTAGTACTAGATTTCGAGAGAGTCCTGGGAAAGTGCGGGTCTTGACCCCGCGGCTGCCTACTTTTTCCCATGGCCATCCCACACAACCCGAGCTAAGAACCCCCAAGTGACACAAAGCACGACAAGTTATCACAACCAGAACAATCTCTCCCAAGTTGCATTCAGCGCCTCCTTCGATCAGGAAGTCTGCGAACTCGATTTGTCGGGCCTTTGGTGACCATCTTCTGGACGCTTTATGCATTGCGGCGCAGTAAATGGCAGGAATCTGGTACCCTTTCCATAAGAAGCATCAAAAAGCTTAGGGCACTTAAGAAGCTCCAGCGTTGAAAACAAACCTTGTGAGACTCCGATAAGCACTGATCTCCCAGCAACCGCACATTCGGACAGTTCTGGTCCAGCCTGGATGGCCAGGATGAGAGCCGTTGCGCCATCCTGTCGGCATAAGACACCGCTAGCGTGCGAGCCTCAAGCTCTAGACTTGCAAGCCATGCTGGTCCGGAACAAACTACAAACTCTCAAGCCATAGCGGATCTACCTGGAACTTGATCCGGCCCGGCAAGTGAGAGCCTCAGACCTGCCTACATGCAAAGGAAAGCCAGCCACTTGGCCTTGTCTTGGGCATCCGGATCCGCCTCGTACTTGAGCAACCTGTCCGGAGTGGAATCGACACTCCATGTTTGATTGGTCTAGGATGTTCCAGGCACAACTGAGCCCAGGCAGCCGAGCTGCAGAGTTGCCAGAGATGTGTTGCCACTCACAGCTGCAATCCTTGCAGATCGCAGCAAGGCCAAAATGTGCAGGCCTTCAAGCATTGGTTGAAAGGTTGTCGCTCGAGGCTAGAGGTATTCACCAATAACATCCCATACTACGCACTGAAATCCTATGATGTGCGGCTGTTGCGGTGTTTGCTGGAGAAGCAGCTCGAGACGCAAAAAAATCAAGATGGAGTCTACACCTGCAATACTTAGATTTCCAGAGCTCTTCTTAAAGGGGAATCCTTTCTCTTCTTCTAAACTCTAGACCAATGAAAATAGGTATAGAGCTGTGTTCGACCAGGTGCATCAATGGGGTGAGCTGCTCAGTGGACTCCACGTCAGCATAAGCATGCATATGAAGAAGCCATCGCATGAGCTCCTTCTCCGAGTGCACATGTCATGTTTCATGTTCCGAAAGCCCTTGTTCAGGCTAGAGATGGTCGAACATGCGAAGTGCAATGAAATCTGGACCAAACTAGAGAAATGTGATCCATCGGATCATATGCAAGCAGAACCCAGCTCCTTGTTTGATTTCTCTGTTGCGAAGAACCTGGGTTGGCGCAGCCAGGACAACATAACCAACAACTATGGGTAAAGGGCGACTTTACCCAAGTCTAGACAGACTTCGACACCAGCTTCCAAGCAGTGCACTGTTGAGTGCAGTTGTGTGGACGCGTGGCAGGAGAGTCCAACCGTTCTCATCCTGCGCGTGGATATCGATTCCATGTTCCTCAGCACGCAAATCTATATCTAAACTCAAGTATGCAATAGGCGTCTTGCAAGATGCTTTCTTGTCCAACATCTGCGCCAGGCATCGCCCAGGTGCTTGATAAGGCGATTGCCACCCTTGCAGGGCTCATGTGTTTCACAGCGCAAGCATTCAGCGTCAACATTGCTTTGGATCTTTGAATGCTCCGTGATATTCATTTGGATCATTCCTACCAATCTAGTCTGACCAGCTCCGTCTCCAGGAGCTTTTTGGCCTCAGCTGCTTCTGGCCTCCATGGCGCAAAGCATAGCAGTCGTTTTGCCGTCGTTAGCCTGCTGCTAAGGTGACCAGGTGAGTTTCAGGAAGATATGGGTTTCGGTTTCCAGCTTTGAGTCGCAGGTCATCGGTTCAAGCCGAGCCAGGGTGGCTTAAGTACAGGGGACGCGCTTTAGCCACGTGGGATGGGAGTTGAGGAAATTAAGCGAGTCACTGCCATAACTCAAGCTAAGTCCAAGGATGCCTTGTGACAAACCCCAAGTTGACTCAATCATTAAGTTATCAGTTGCACTCCAATTCATCATGAAGCCCAGCTTTGACATCGGTGCTGCTTTCATTTAGCATTTTCGAAGTTTGACTAACATCCAGACAGTCACAGAATCGACATGTAAGAGCTTGACCATGTCCAAACTCAGTGCAAACTCGCATGTACCTGCTTAGCCTACAAGCAGGGCGAGAACAGCTCCCAAACGGCAGAGGATCCTCGTCAATCGCAAACCATGCGGACACCTTTTATTGATTGCAACGTGTCTTGCTGAGTCTTTGGGTTCTGCGCCGTGACGCCTAGAATCCTACAGCCCAAGAATTTTGGGCTTCCTACGTCCTGCGCAGCCTCAGGCTAAGTTTGACAATCTTAGTTTCCACAAAGGTGGAAATGCCATGGCAAAGGATCCATCGGGTCTGTTTGCAGGGTCTAGCTGCTAGCTACAAGTCCAATCCCCGAACCCTGACTTGACGATTCTTGCTTGCTCACTGGCCGTACTTCTTGCCCAGGTAGCCAGCCACATCCTATCAAGCAAGCGATGTGGAGGTGGTAGAAAAGATTCCAAAGTAAATGATCCCACTGAAAAGCTGTCGCGGTACCCTGACCATCAATCCATGCACGCGGATAACAGACCAAACTGCGCTGTTGTTGCCGCGCTGCGCGTAAGCTTCAAACAGCCACGGCACCACTGAGCTCAGCATTGGATCTCGCGCCATCTAACACTCCGAAGAATCTGAACAAGTACGAACTGAGCAACTCTGAAAGGTGTACTTGGTTTTGGAAGGAAGTATCATGATCAAAGTTGGTGTAGCCTCAGCTGCAGGGCTCTACAATCCAGGGCAGTGTATGTAGTCGATGTGCTGTTTAAAAACAATAGTGCAATTCTTGAGCTATAGCCCCCAGAAGGATATCCTGCACGTTCTTACGTCTATAGGGAGGATGAAGCAAAGGTTCAGACCATTGGTGATCTGTGGGTCACAGTTAGAAGGGCGCAGGATTTCATGACGCCCAGCCAAGGGACTCTTGGGATTGCTCCACATACAGTAAGCCCTCATCAAGCTCTGGCCCAGAATGCAGAAGGTTGGTGCTCGTATTATGAAATTACGAACGCTTCTGATGACACAAGTATACTCGCAAGTGCAAGTGGTTCACAAAAACACTCGCAGGACAGAATGCAATCAGTGACCCGGATGCTCAGTCCCAATTCCTGTTGATGTCCAGCCTGCAGTCCTTCGACTTCAAGACTGGAACCCCAAAACCAGTTTTCAAAGAGGTATCCTTGAAGCGTTCCGTGAGGGGCACGGAGGCAGAGCCCAGGGAATCATCGCCCTTGAAGTTTGCGGGGCAGACCTGGCCGTGCTTCTTGCAGGCTCGAACGGATAGAAATGTGATGATTCAAAATAAAAGGCTATGTTTTCATGGTGCTCTCCAGCATGCACAAAAAAGGAATGGTGGTAATGATCACGACCCCCTTGACGATGAAAACAATTCAGAAAATCGACTTAAAAATTACAACCAAATAAGGAATGCATATCAACATGCACATACGAGTACGAAGATGTGCCTGTGGGCCAGGTAATTGCACTTCAAACGTGTATTACGCTCGCCAACGCGAGGGCTTCATGCAAACTGTCGGCAGCGACTGGCAGCGGTGCAGCACAGGATCCGCTAGACCTCATATTCCCTTGACGTGCCTTGCCGTTCTTCTCAAAGTACTGGAGCGCATCTAGCATCCTTGAATTGCCAGCAGTCTTGTTAAGATCAAATCACTTTAGAGCTCTGCACCGGTGCCTTCCAAGCCATGTTCAGCAGATGTTGTACGTTAACTTTGACGGAAGATCGTCAGGTAACGCGAGGAGTAATACGCGCGCTCAAGACCACCGCAGCTTGGCAGGGCAGGTCAGCTTCAGGCCTAGTGCTGCTGGGCAGCCGCACTGCCTCATCGACGGATCGGCCCAGGGGCTCGTCGTTCACAAGCTGATGCCTCACGATGCCGGCCTCAGCTGAGAGCTCACATTCGAAGGGAACTATTGTTACTGGTCTTAGACAGGGTTCTTGTCATCAGCGATGCTGCCGCTTGTTACTATGGCTACTATTGCTATTGTCGATGGAAGCGGCCGCAGCTGCAACGGTATCAGTGTTGGGGAAGAGTAGGAACACGAGGAAAAATAGTGGTAGTGGGTACTAGTACTAATTCGAGTACTCGTAGTAGTTGTAGTAGTCGTCATAATCAGAATAGTACTCATAGTAATAGAAACGGTAATACTAATACTAATGATAATAGTAGTACTAACAATATACAAAGTCATAGTCACAATGACAATACCAATAGAAATGTTCAGAATCGCAATAGTAAGAATGGTTCTGACAGTAACAGCAGCAGCAGCAGTAGCCGTAGCCGTAGCCGTAGCAGCAGTGACAGTAGTGTGGTAGTAGCACCAGTCACTAGACGCCGCCCTCATCCTCCTCCTCCTCCTACTTGTCCTGCTACTCCTGCTCCTGCTCCTACTGCTACTACTTCGTCTTCCACTGTAATTGTATTTGTCCTCGGCGTAGAGGTTGTTTGTAGCAGTAGTTGTAGTAGCAGCAGCAAAAGAACTAATAACAATGCAAGGTAGTGAGAGAGGTCTGTGGCAAAGGAGGACTGTTGGGCCCTATGAAGGGTCAGATGTAGAATTCCAAAACTGCCAAACGTTAGAGGAGTCCTTGCCACCGGCCATCCGAACAAGGTCATCTAGATCCTAGAGCCTCTTGAAAGCATGTGCTTAATCCCCATATTCTCCCACTATACCCCCGATTACTGTATACCTCGCCTGGCCGCCTTGTCGATAAGGAACAGGCCACGGTGGGAGGAGCCGTCGTCTGCTAGGACATCATACGCCTCTGAGGCTTCCTCTGCGCGAGGGTCTAAAGCATGCATATACATATATATATATAGAGTACTATCACATATTGAAAATGATATAATATACAATATAGTATAATCTAATATAGAATATACTATATATAATATACTATAATAAACTACTACGCATCGTGTTGGTTGTCCTACAACGCCGGTTTTCCCCTATTGCAGGCAGCCATTGGCGCTGCACCGGGCAATGAAACATGATCACAGCAAGCTGCAGCGGCTGAATTCATGGACTAATGTTCCAAATCTGCATCCCTGAAGTCAGTCCTTCTTGAAGTCGGAGAGCAGTGGAAACTTGATCTTGCCGATGCCTGAGTTTGGCCCAGTGGGTAGGTAAAAGGCATTTAAGGCTGCAGCGCATCTTCCTGGCTTCAGATGACATGCGCCAGGTCGAGAAAAATTTGTTTGCAAGCTCAGGTTGGGGGGGGGGTTGGAGTTGAGGTTCGGGATAGTTCCATATTGACCGCCCAATGCGCGATTGTGTCATGGCTGAATCGTACTAGCATGCCTGCACAGGCCATCAGGCCCAAATCACCCGTATCGAACCTTTGTTGACTACAGTACCCTTCGTTCGCCCACCGGAATTATAGGTTAAAGGCTTAGGGCTCTTTAGGGAGCAGCGCGTTTTAGGGTTTAGGGTTTGTCGTTAGAGCGGTTTAGGTTTGGCTGCTTGGAGGTTTAAGGTGTCTGAGGGTTTAGGGGCGTGTTAGGTTGTAAGGTTTTGGGGCATCTTTTTTCAAAACCACTCACGTACCGTAGGTTTTAGGGTTTGGGGCTCCCTAGGCTTTTGGGCGCGATGGGCGCGTTGTACGGTTTACGCTTTGGGGCGTTCTAGGGTCTAGCGTTTTGGTCTTCTGTGAGGAGTACTCTTTTGAAGTTTAGTGTTGTGTTTTCTTGGGGATTAAGGTCTTCGAGAGTTTAGGCGTGGGGTTCTTTACGGTCTAAATTGGGTGTGTTCGGGTTTGCGGTTCTGTTGGGATTGGGTTGCTTTAGTTTTTTCTTTAGGGATTCGGACGTTTTTAAGCTTTAGGGTTTGAGGCATTTGGGGTCAGGAAACTGACTCCTTGCGACGGAAAAAGTACGGGCAGCGCTACTAAACTTATCAAAACTTGACACGAACTTGGCAGTTCACATCACAGAAAAAGGCATGTCAACTTGATCGGGCGTCGTAGAAAACAGAGCGCCTGCGCAGGTGTTCTGCGGATTTGCGGTTTAGGGTCTGCTGGGGCGCGCGAAAACGATGGTCATTGACAGTCTTTGGTTTGGTCACTGGAGAAGTTCAAGTTAGAAAAGATCCACACCTTTGAAGCTCCCAGCCTCAACTGTTCAGCCACATTAGCCTGGGACCCATTACATATGTTACATTCCATCGAGGGAAACCAGCCGTGCTTGCTGAGTGCATCTGAGGCCAGTTTGCATCTCACGTACCTACACTTCACAGCCCAAAATCCAAAAGCATGCCTCAGCTGGTACACGCAGAACTATTCCAAAAGAGCTCCGCCGGGTGGCCGCCTGCGGAAGGCTCCAGTCGCCTGTAGGCGAGGTGAGAGTGCACGGAATCCGTGGACACACCCAGAACCTCCCAGGTGTGATGTTTCAACGATCGCTTGCCCTGTGAGGCTTTCAGTCTAGACTTTTTGTTGTTCTGGCACTGGTCTGAAGTTAGCAACACTTGAAGTTAAGTTCTGCTTCACCTCCGAACCCAAGGCTGTGTGCACTGACAGGCTGATCCTCGCAGCGTCCCTGCTGAATACTACCAGAGATTGGGTTCGTTGACATCACTCGGTGAGAGCTCACACATCTATTGCAGACGCTGGCTTTGGAAAGAATACACATCAACGAAGGTTTTACACATCACTAAAAGCTGATCGCCATATAGTCGCTGCCTCCAGAACAAACGCAGCAAAGCATGAAATTGCTCGTTCCACTGCGGACGCTCAAGAATTCTACAAGGATTGCAAACTGTCAAGCGTGCTTCACCATGAAGACACTTGTTTCAGATCGGCGGAGATGAGATGGGGCATGGGAACACCCTGATCAAGCAGGCTGAACGATACAGCGGTCCATAAGATGTCCGAGCCAAAGCCGGCAGCCCTACAAGCCCGATTAGATTCCACATGGAACCCTACATAATAATTGACAACTGTGAGAAGGACAGACTTATTCGTACGGGCGCACGGCAAACCTTGCGGACGCTGTAGCAGACACTAAAGAACACAGCGTTGTCCAACAGTATGTGTTTTCTGTGCACACCAACACGTGAATCTGTCTTGAGAAGCCGTACTTTAAAATGGACCAACTACACCACCCGGTGTCAGATGGCCCGACCCACTGTAAATGACTACCTCTTCCAGGCTCCCCCAACGATGTCCAGGCACCTCTGCACCCTTGGCACGCAGGTCCTCCACTACGCTGTTGAAGGCCATAATCTCTGTTGGGCACACGAAGGTGAAGTCGAAAGGGTAGAAGAACAGGATCACGTATTTGCCCTTGTAGTCCTGCGGATTCTCTCATGGCCCCAGCACCCTAGTCCCAAGCCCCAACATCTTAACCGTCGCGGTTTGCGCGAAGGATTGTTGTAACTAATGTACTGCCCATGCTGCTTCCGAGTTCCCAAGTCCTTTAGGGAAACCGTCTTGGTCTGATCATCTGGCATGGCTGCAGGAAGCTCGAAGTCCGGGGCATCTTTTTGAATCAGCAGCTTCGCCTGGAAGGACACCATTGAAGGCTGGAGATGGCTGGAAATAGGATGTTAGGATCTTCTCTTTGATAGGCCGACAGCCTGCGCGGCCAAAATGGCCGTGGCCAGCGCCAGAAGTCGCAGCGCCATGGCGACCTCAGGCTCCGGCATTGGGGTCTTGGAGGCACCCGTGAAAATTAGGGTTTAGGGAGTCAAAGGAAGCCGAACTGCGGGCTCCTTAAGCCTTGAACTAGGGCACGATTCAGCACAGCACCTAGCTTCCAAAAATCTGCTGAAAGGGCAGGATACAGCAGGATCGCGGGATGGGAGATTATGGGAGCCAAGGCGCCTGGGAGAGGAAAAGGATCCGGCCCTCAGCGTCTAAGCCAAAACTGCGGTGCAGCATTCGAAGCAAAGAAAAAGGCATGAAACCCCAGAAGAGGGTCCAGGAAGAACGGACTTTTTTGGACAGCAAGAACCCAGAGAAAGCTAAAGGCTCATGGACAGCCACCTATCCCAAGAAATCCTATCCCCAATGGAGTCCGTCTGACTCTTCAGCTGCAACTTGCTCGGCCTGAACATGAACGTCAGCGCGGTGTTCGATGAGGAGCCGCGCTCCGTCCTCTTAGGCTTTCGTCGGCATTACGACCTTTTGGGGGGAAGCTCATTCTCGGTTGAGCTCACATGAGCCCTTTGCATCTTCTTGTAAAGAGAAGGCTTTCAGAAATCCTCCGCGGCAATGACAAGTTGCATCCTTTCTATTAAGTACACAGAACCACTTCGCTCATCTCTAGGGCCTGCGTCTTTGAGACCTGCTCACTCAGCGCACTTTTGTCTTCCAATGATGGCTGTTTGCCGGCGGGCTATGGCAAAAGGGGGCACCACTCTAACCAGCGTTAAGAGTAGGCGGCCTCGGACCTTCGAACTTCCACGCACTACAGTTAGCATTGAGTTGTCATTGCAGGGTTCTGCATGAAGCCCCAATCTCTCGCGGCTGTGGCCCCGCGCACCTCGTTGTTATTCCGACAGGCGTGCATCAAGGCCTGCAGACGAGCGCCCACATAAAAACCGGTCAAAACGGTCTAAAGATGAACTTGCGCAGAGAAATCAAATAAAACAACAACCTTCAATGCGAGATGCCTGCGGTTGGTCATGCCTGAAGCTGAATATTGCTGAATGATCGCATCAACGTAGCACCGTGATCAACGCAAACGCAAGTAGCGGCAGCTTGCACGGCTTCTGGTCCCTAACAGCACTTCCAAGGAGGAAGCTGAGTCCAAAGCTGTCCAGCCCAGGTCATCCTTGCTCTCAAGTGCAGCCCGGCTCTCCAGCAGAGCCTTGCTGACCAGGACATGAACGCTTTGGGGCCAGGCAGATGGGCGTTGAAGTTGCGTTTTTTTCGATTGCTACAGTAGTTCCAGGATTTGTTGTGCATTCAAGCATCCCTAATTCCAGGTGGGCGAGCCGGTGGAGAGCCTGGCTTTTTTTCGTTTGCAGTTGCTTTAGGGCAGCATGGTCTCTTGCCACCATCTCCGGTGAAAGTCGCCCTGCGCCCAAAACACCAGCGATGCAAGCCCGCCTTCAAGGTGTCAGCAGCTTTCTCGGACTGGCCTAAGCTTCTCACACTTGCAGTCCTCTGTGGCCTTCTGCCGGGCTTCTCTAAACAAGCAGGCCTACAGGCTTTTCTTTCTCGAAGCTGGACGTCTTTTGAAAGCCATGCATCTCCAAAATTGGGCATGCAGCGTTGGCCAGATGGTGAGCATTAAATATTGATCCCATGAAGATCAACGGGGGCCCCGGGATCTGAACCCAGCTCCAAATTTGCTGCACGCCGTGTCACATCTGTGTAAGTCACAGTGCAAGAACCCTTGGTCATCTTCGCCAACTGAATTCCATGATGACCCCTAGAAAGCCAAGCTGCAGTGTGATGCCGCAAGCATCAGTGGCGTCTGGCCTGGATGGGGGAAGTTCACGCAGGAGCTTTGGGGCACAATCTCTGGTGCAAGATGTGTCAGTGATATAGTCGAAGGACAGATGGCAGGGGATCAAAAACCCGTTTTGTCGCAGGCCCCACGGCCCTCCAACCCCCTGTTACATGCCCCTTTCTCCCTGCCAGGGTTACATGTGGTTACTTACCGTTGTCGCGAATGCATGCATGTATCAGCTTTGATGCACAAGGGTTAACACGAAAGGGTTTGTTGCAAGCCAGACAATTCTGTTGCATGCCTTTGTCGAACAACCGTAGTTGTTTTCATTCATAGCCAGATGTGTCTCAGACACGACACATATATGGGTTTGAGCTCTGCTCCCAACAAATGCGCGTCGAACTTCTAGCCACTTGATTTGCAGCTCTAATTTGCAGCCTCTTCATCCGCTTAGACGGTGCTGGTTGGATTTTATGCAACTTTGCGATCTGAGGCAGCAACACCGCAAGCTTTGGCAGTCCACCTGCCGGTGCCGTGGTTTAAGGATTGTGGGGCTACATGCGCCTAAGTGGCGAGTGCTTGTTGGAAGTGTCAGCTTGTGGAAGCTTTCTGGGAGCAACGTTGCTGGCGGCGATTGAGGCACAGAGCTTGTGCTGGGACCAACGGCTCTTCCTGTCCATCCACAGCTCCATCTCAACCAAACCTAAACATACACAGAGGTCCCATCCCATTCCCAGCCTCTGCTTCGGAATCCAGGAGCTCCTCTGCGTGCAAAGCCAGTACTGGGGACGAGATGTTCTAGACACCTACAAACTGGCCAACAAAGACTCATCCCGCGTGCTCTGCACAAGGCACGATAACAGTCCACTTGCGAAACGGTCTGCACAAGGACGCCACAGGAGGTGGAATTTGCAGTGCCGACGTATTTCGGCATGAAAGGGCTATCAAATGTGAGGCACCTAAGGCACAAATATCCACAACCTCACGCTACAGGTTCTACACCGCACCCAGGCTTTTGTCCTGCACCAGCTTCGCATTGACTGAACGGGCTGCCTGCAAAATCTAGCTTGAATCTCGTGGTTTGCCCGCTTTCGAAGGTCAACTCACAGGGATGAATGATTCAGGTCAGAGCTGCTAGGCAGGCAGCACCGAATCCAAAGACCCGCAAACGAGAAAGGGATGATGTAGACCTGCAATGAGACCTGATTCATTCGAATGAGCTGTTGTTGGCTGAAATCTTCAGGGCAGGGACTACCATCTCAAAGCGCAGGCTCACCCGTGTGATGAGGCTTAATTATGCACCATCTCACCACCTCATCATGCAACCTGTTTACACAGTCGCTTGCTGGAAACTCAGCCCCTTCAAGAGCCCGAGCGCCTGCAACAGGCGTTTTTGCAAGGAGTCCTCCTCCTGAGTGCCAGGTAAAAGGGACCATCTACACGATCTGGCCATAAGCAGGCAGAGCTAATAGGTGGCTTCTTGGTGACCCGGAGTCTTGCAAGCTTTGGCTGTGTCGGCATCCCTCAAAGCTGACAAGATCCGACAAGACTTCTACGACTCAGCGTCCGGTGCTCTGAATCCTTCTGGGCCCTGAAATTCTTGCAACTCTGCTTTCGTCTCAGGGGGAGGATGCTTCGGAAGAACAAGCAGCCCCTGGCGAGCTCCAGCTCTACCCGCACTCAGCTCTGCACAGCCGCTGCGTTGGGAGAACCTGAGAAGGAATGAGCCAAATCCATCGGAATCTAGTGAATATGCTTCCAGGGTAAGTTTGTCAAACCAACACTGAGCAATGAGCAAAGCTCAATCATCCTCAAACGAAGCAACCCTCCAGACCGCCCCGAAATCAAATGAGATGCTGTACAAAGAAAAGGTCTGCGAGCTCCCTGGCAGCTTTGATGTGGTAACCTGATGTGACAGCAGAACAACGCGGAGCTCGGATAGGAAGTGGCAAATAGGCCTGTCGTAAACACCGTCACTGAATCGGAACAGCGATCGAATCGACCATCGAATCCGTCGCGTCTCCAAACCTCGACCTCTCACCTTCCACCTCCCGCACTCCTCCCGCTCACTCTCTCCCCGTGGTCGAGCCGCGCCAATGGCTCGCGAGAGCCTGCTTGAAAGCACACAGGACCAGGAGCAACAGTCACCTGCATCTGCAGAGATCTCCTGATCCTGTGGGTCTTCAAGAAAGCTCCCGCGACCCAATCATTGCAGTGGCTGATCTGGTCTGGGGCCATGTGTTCAACCATGCAGAAGCCGCAAAGCAGTTTTGCTGCCGTGGTGCGGTTCGATGCATCGGACACTGGGCTGACAGGGCTGCCCGGCGACCCGGGGCTGGCCGCGCTCCTTTGCAGCTCTGCTCCGAGCGGGTCGACCAGAGCTCAAGGATGGATATATTCATTTAGACCTTTGAAACACTACATTGGGCTCCGCGCAACTTGGCAAGAGAGGCTCCGAAAATGCGATGGGTAACTTTAAGTTCATACAAGCATTGAAATTGTACAACTGTCTACGACCCCTGATTAGGGTTTTGTGCGGAGAGGGCTGGTGCTACAATTTGGGGCTTGAGGAGCACAAGCACTATGTCTTGTAGGCTGACATGTCCCATCTTCCATCCAGCCTTCTATCTTTTTCGTCTGCATTGACCTGCTGCTACTGCCCCTGCACCTAACATTGCCACTGCATACCACAGCCACTACAACTGCTCCTCCACCTCTGACTCCTGCGACTCCTGTTTCTCCTCCCTACTCCCCTTCTCCTACTACAACCCAACGTGCTGAATACGGTCTCCTGTGGCTATGAATGCCAGAATCAAGGCTGACAACGCCTGGCCTGGCCGAGAGCTTGCCACCAAACTCCTGGCTCGAACTGCGATGTCTACTGGTGATCCTGACCGTCTGTTCTTGTAGTCTTGGGGGGAATATGTGTCGGACATCATAAACAGGCAATGATGGCGAAGTCTAGAGTCTAAATTGGGCTCAAGAGAAAGAAGCGGTTCTGCGCGACTTCAAGATGTCCGCAAGCTCATGTTGCAACGGGCAGATGGGAAACCAGAGGACACGCATTCGGAAAGTCGAAGCAGAGGGTCGCATGCGTAAACACGTTGAGTGGCGAACGAACCGCTGGATCATAATTACTTACTTCGAGCATCCCCACCCTAAAGCCGTTATCGCACAAGAAGTGTAACGTTTCCCTGCCCCCCTCAACTGTCT